TGGGCCCCAGTGTATACTTTTCTTTTATAAACTGTAAATAATTAACAAACAAATATCGATTTTTATGATTTTTGGATCTAGGACGACAATGAAGGCATATCCACAATGAAGGCATATCCACAATGAAGGCATATCCACAATGAAGGCATATCCTTCAGATCCAGAATGAAACCACTAGGCCCCGTTTTTTTACTAACAATAACCACTCCATTTTGGCTGGGACACATCTTCTGGAGAACAAATTTCTTTCTTTCAATAAATCCGGAGATGTACAGCAAAATCCACTTTTTTTTCTAAAGAAATAAATCTTGATATCTTACTGTCAGCTGATTGATGTTAAGTGATGATACATTTATATTCAGCCAACCAATTTTAAGAGTTTCCAGCTAAACCAGAGACGTCACATAGGTCCAGCTGAACCAGAGACGTCACATAGGTCCGGCTCAACCTGAGACGTCACATAGGTCCGGCTCAACCAGAGACGTCACATAGGTCCGGCTCAACCAGAGAAGTCACATAGGTCCAGCTCAACCAGAGACGTCACATAGGTCCAGCTCAACCAGAGACGTCACATAGGTCCAGCTCAACCAGAGACGTCACCATCCAGCGTTTCTGTGGCTGAAAAAAAAAGGGGGGGGGGGGCGCAGATATTTACGAGCTCAAATTTGTGATGTGGAACAAATTCGTCTAGGAATGCAACTTGCAACAACACCAAAAAAGTGCCACGAGGGCTCCCAAAGTCACAAGACAACTCTTAGCATAAGAATTTATATTAATGAAAATTTGGTTGATGTCCAATTTTGTCAAAGAAGTGTCTATCATTGAAATGTTTTTCAAAGTGTTTGCTAATAAAATGGCTGTGGATGAAGAGCTTGTTAATAAAATGGCTGTCAATGAAGAGTTTTTTAATAAAATGGCTGTCCATGAAGAGTTTGTCAATAAAATGGCTGTCGATGAAGAGTTTGTCTATAAAATGGCTGTCGATGAAGAGTTTTTTAATAAAATGGCTGTTGATGAAGAGTTTGTCTATAAAATGGCTGTTGATGAAGAGTTTGTCAATAAAATGGCTGTCGATGAAGAGTTTGTCTATAAAATGGCTGTCGATGAAGAGTTTGTCTATAAAATGGCTGTCGATGAAGAGTTTGTCTATAAAATGGCTGTCGATGAAGAGTTTGTCTATAAAATGGCTGTCGATGAAGAGTTTGTCTATAAAATGGCTGTCGATGAAGAGTTTGTCTATAAAATGGCTGTCGATGAAGAGTTTGTCTATAAAATGGCTGTCGATGAAGAGTTTGTCTATAAAATGGCTGTCGATGAAGAGTTTGTCTATAAAATGGCTGTTGATGAAGAGTTTGTCTATAAAATGGCTGTTGATGAAGAGTTTTTTAATAAAATGGCTGTCGATGAAGAGTTTGTCTATAAAATGGCTGTTGATGAAGAGTTTGTCTATAAAATGGCTGTGGAAGTGATCTGCTAAACCCTATCATATGCCTATGAATTTTTTTAGAGTAAGGTGAAGAGTTTATTAAAAAGATAGGGTGAGATTTTTAGCTAATAAATCATAAATAAGACCACATTTCTTGTACAAAAAATAAGAAGAAGCTCTTGGTAAGGCAGTCTTCCTAGAGCCCTTAAAAAATCTCTAGGTATCAGTTGGGATTTTGTAAATTTTTCACATGGCACTCTTCATTAAAGGCAATTAAGAAAGACTTGATACAAGAATGACAACATATCTTTGGCAAGAAAATCTTTCTCTCCTGTAAGGCTTTAGGCCAACAAATAATACAGAAAACAGGTCATATCAATATCATAGAATTTTTTTTTTTTTAAAGCTATCATTATTTGTAAAACAACTATCAGGCTAATTTTGCATATAAAATTTGAATTTTACCCAATCTTGACCAGAATTTTAAATAATTATTTATCGTACTTAGAGAGGAATTAGTTCAAAGATTCCCATCCTTTGTTGAGTCCCAACCCCATTTATAGAAGCGAAGGTGATCCCCAAACACCATTTTAGAGAAGCAAAGTAACCCTTCAACATTTTACATTTAAAATAGGAATTTTAATAGGAAAAAGTGAACACATCGAAAAAGGCTTTTCCAAAAAAATTCAAAACAATTTAACTAATGGGATATTTAATGCTATGAAAGAAATTATAACCTGTCTACAAGCTTCAAAATTATTGGTGGAGTTTTCCTAAATGCAAACCTTATTTAATTTTTAGCATTCAGTTAATTTCCTTCGTTTTTGATTTTCCAATAAAACACTGACAATTGTCATAGGTGGCAGCATTATGATATATCCAAACTTTCAGACATGATTAAACTGAACATTGCTTTTAAATCATTGTTTCTCTTAGTTTACTGTTGACTCCAGTGCCAGCCCAGAAAACCCTTTGCAACATAAAATGGGGTCAGGAGGTAACCCTTGGGTTTGGAACCAGGGAATGAGTCGAATGCAATGTGTCAATAAAACAGTGTCAATAAAACAACAAGATAATAAGATTTTTTACTTCAACTGACATTGAATAATTGAACAATGGGTTGAGGATAAAAAAATATAAGAGAATAACATAAAAAACATAGAAAAAAAAATTGAATTCTTTATAAAGTTTTTTTCACCCTCTTTTTAATACCTAATAAATCTAATTGTTGTATTTAACGGACTATAAGACGTATTTTTTTTTCTCGAAAAATTGCCTCCGAAATTCAGATGTGTCTTATACTCAAAATTGATATAATAATGGTATGGTAAATATGTTTTTTTTTTTAAAATTGCTTAAAAATTAAGGTGCGTCTTATAGTCTGCAAAATATGGTAAAACTGTTGATTTTCTCAATTTAATGATTTTTTCCCCATAATTTTCACTGTAATGTTATAACTATGGCAAAAGGCTTTGCTATGACAATAAAAATATGGGCCTGTTGTTGCTAAGAAAGTAACCAATTTCTTAATTAACTGCCATCTGACAACATCCATGGACATATCCATAATTTTGAAAAAATAACTGCAATTAGAAATAAAAAGATACCCTGACAGACAATTTTAATTGTGTCTGATAATGAATGTGTCAAGGGGACATCCATAAATATTTGTACGCCATTTTGGTAAAATTTGAGACCCTCCCCTTGCCTCATACATGTCACACAATTTAGGCAACCACATCATCAAAAATTGATGCCCCCCTTTTTCTCATAAATGTGTGATATTATTTATGGATGGCCCCTAAGTTTAAGAAAATTATCAGCCATGTTTCTTTATTCTAAACTAAATCAGATCCAAGATGTCTGTTCATCAATAAATATATGGTGAATGAAAAGAGAATGATTAGAAAAGCAGTGATGTTTAAAAATAATTTTGTTGTGGTGTAAATTTGAGAATTGGAGAAGTTGTTTTGATTTCATGGATGGGAACAATATATGAAAATAATGATTTTATTTAGGCAGCTGATGCTTGTGAAAATACAGTAAAAACAATTTAAACTAATTATAACATTTTATACATTATTTTACACATGCTTAATTTTCACAATAACCCTTTTAGCTCTTACAGAGCTATAATAAATGTTTTCATGATGGCAAATAAAATGGGATTGAAGTGGATTTGCTTGATTACCAATGACGTGAAACTCTTTTAAGGTAAAGCGAAATAGTGTTCATGGCACACTTTGCTTAGTTGAACATTTCTTGGAATGTTAAACCCTAGTGTAAAAGCTGACAGCTTTTAAGTATAAGATTTTGGGTTTTTTTTTTAGAAAAAGTAGTGTCTGAGAAATGTACTTCATATATATATATATATATATATTCCTTTCTCAACATGATGTATGCTGTCCTTGCTTTACACTGGACATGTGCTGTCCTTGCTTTACACTGGACATGTGCTGTCCTTGTTTTACTTTTACTCAGCCAAATATCAGTTACTCCAGGCTGTATTCTCATTGACTTTGTTAATCCGTTCACACACACTGTCTATACTTGTACTGTTACTAAAACACATGGATGGTGGGATTATCCGGTGCAGGTGAGAAAATGAACTGCCATTGTTTATAATCCATTCACCGTCACATTTGTTGAACACATCCCCAGATTTGGGCACTTGTCCATTCGGATAAACTCTTGAAAGTATTGCACCGGTAAGTGGTGCACCGGTAAGTGGTGCACCGGTAAGTGGTGCACCGGTAAGTGGTGCATCTTGATCTCTTATACGACAAGGTGAGCTATTTATGCTGGCACCGGCTTTTGGTCGGTATATCACTCTGTCGAGTTGTCTCGAGTTTTCTCCATCATCAAATAAAACATCTCCCTGATAATAATCCTCTGGATTATTGTGGGACGAGAACTGATTCTTGTAGTTAAAAGATTGTCTGGGATTGAGCAAGGCAGTGTTTGAGCAATCTGGTATCGAAGGCAAAATGTGTTTTTTCTTTTGTTGATGTGAAGCGGGAAAGCGCGTGCAGTCGCCTGGCGGTTGGACGGCGGTGGTGTAGTCTTCTGATCTAAGAGAGCCACTGACAAAACCACTTGATCTAGTAATCAGGGGAACTGCTGAAGATAACTCTGGCTCCTCATTTATATCTATGAAATCTGCAAGGCCTGTGTCGGGATGAACACTGTCACAGTCGACAATACTGACACTTCTAAATGAGCCGATCTCTGAACTCATGTGGAGTCCGTTCTCTGCGACATGAAGGTTATCATTAGCGTCTAAATGTTCTATATCAACTACCGTGTCTTCAAAGGTATGGGCTTCAGCCTGTAAACTCAGAAACTGCTCAACCTCTTTAGCTTCTAGGCAGTCTCTCCAACCACTGAGACTAGGATAGAAGTTAGCCGGATACTCTGACATGTTGTACACTTTGAAGAGTAACTGGTCAAGGTTTTCCAACTGCACGTGATTAGAAGTAAATGAAGCTAAAGGTAGAGGCATCTGAAGATCTCCAGCCTGACCGCTCTGATTGAGTAAAAGTAGATCTTTAAGCTCCTCAAGGGATTCAAGTTCTGCTCGATGAAAACAATCAAAAGTTACGAGAACGGGTTTGGTACACTGAGAACTTAGTCTGTGCTCATGTACTGCACGTATGGATTGAGCGCAGATGGCATCCTGTTGAGATAAATGAGATGTGTCTAAATCATTTTTGAGTAGCGCTCCTAGGCTCGGAGATAAGTAAATAATAACATCGCTGTCCTTGACCTCAGAGTCAACCCAAGAATGATCACGACTTCTGGGTCCGCAGACAAAGCAATCCAGCTGTAACTCTGGTGGGACACGTAAGACATCCACATACCGACGTAGAAGGGAGACGTGGCTTTCAACGGCCTTCACATAGTTGGCATTCTCAAAGCAATAAATCGGAAGAACTGCAAGAAAAAGGGGGGGGGGGGAATTAAATTTTAAAAAATGAAATAAAACTCATTTCAATTTAATTTTATCATTAAAACTAAATAAAATATAGATTGTCTGAAAAAATTTAGGTTAAAAAAAAAAATACTCAAAGCAATAAATCGGAAGAACTGCAAGAAAAAGGGGGGGGGGGGAATTAAATTTTCAAAAATGAAATAAAACTCATTTCAAATTTATTTTATCATTAAAACTAAATAATATATTGATTGGCTGAAAAAACTTAGGTTAAAGAAAAAAATTAACAGTTATAGTAAAACACACATCATTGACTAATGATTACTGCTAAATAGCAGACTATCTAATGATAATGTAATGGCTTATCTACTGTATCTTCTTGTTTTAAGTTGCTTCGAGTCAAGAAATGATATAGTAGTAATAATACCATGCCCATTACTGATGTCAGAGGGCAAACTGCACAATAAAGTTGTACTTTCAATGACTCATCTTAACTAAACATTTTAAGTATAGCAGGCACTGACCAAAGCATATAATGTATTTACATGTATTTGTAAAAATATATTTTTTTTTGTGACAATTAAATATCATTGGATAAAGTAAACCGGTTAAATTTCTTGTAAGCAGAATAAATGTTACTTTTTAAGATAAAGTTTTTTTTTTTAAAGATACTTTTTTTTTAAAATCCCAAAATTGTTCCTGCAGCTATTATTCCAAAGACAGAAAATTTTTATTACCATGCAAAGGTTGTATTTTTTTTACTCAGGGTTATCTCCCCACCATCCCACCACTTTCACCAAGTGTTTACCTATACGCTGGGAGGGTCCCAGATGATGCCACTTAATTGAGAGAAAGACAACCTAACCATTATACCAAGGTCTTAAAAACTTCAATCAAAAACACTCATAACTGAAAAAAAAAAGTTACTGGTCTTACTCCGAGGAACTCCTCTCCTATTATTTCTGGCTGAGCCGGTTTGGGTGGAATAACCGATCCAGTCGCGCAGTTTCAACCAAATCTTTCCCCTCAGTATAAGACAAAATATGATGACAGCCACAATGAGTATGGAGACGGACACAAGAATGATGACCAGTCTGTTGTCATCCACTTCAGGAGTTAAGACAACCTCTACAGGTTGGTCTATTTCTGGAAAGCCTGATTGCAGCAAACAAGAATTCAATATTTTTTTTTTTTGAAACATTTTAAGTCAATTAAATAATTTGTTATAGAGGTTCTAAATAAGAGTTTATTTAATTTTCTTAGTTCTTTTTCTGTTCAATCAAAAAATTTTAAGTTTTTAATCTATGGGCATTTTCAACCAAGCTGCATTTATAAAATTTATTTTTAATATGCCCAAAAAAAAATGTAAACACAAATAAGTATTATTAGGACTAGAATTAAAATACATGATATTAAAACCACATTAATTATTCAAATTAAATTAAAACTGACTGAATTGCGTTTCATAAATGGGGTAATTGCTTGTTTCCAAACCAGCCTCATCGAGCCCACGAAACTGAAAGGAACGAACATAAATAGTCTAGTATCATTATTGCTGGTCAATTATTATACAAATTTATATTAATAATATCTGTGTTAATATCTTATTATTCTTATTTCAGTTGCAAGTTCTGCGCTTCAAAACGTTATGACATCCTTCGTTGAAGGATGCATTGTTTGTTTCAAATGTTAGGGTCATTGTTCTCATTTCTGGCACCGTTGCATAACTTCACTGATACCACAGCCATGCTTGGACCACACTTTACTACATACAGTATTCACATACACAGCCATACTTCATGACACACACAGCCATAATTGTTTCACACTTCCTTACGCACACACACCCATGCTTGGTCCACACTTGACTACACACACATCCATATTTGGTTTACACTTGACTACACACACAGCCATACTTGGTCCACACTTGACAACACACACAGCCATACTTGGTCCACACTTGACTACACACACAGCCATACTTGGTCCAAACTTCACTACACACACACCCATGCTTGGTCCACACTTGACTACACACACATCCATACTTGGTCCACACTTGACTACACACACATCCATACTTGGTCCACACTTCACTACACACAGCCATGCTTGGTCCACACTTCACTACACACACAACTACACTTGGTCCACACTTCACTACGCACAGCCATGCTTGGTCCACACTTCACTACACACAGCCATGCTTGGTCCACACTTCACTACACACTGACACTTATTATCAGACCACTCTCATCTCACTGACACTTATCATCAGACCACTCTCTTTTCACTGACACTTATCATCAGACCACTCTCATCTCAGTGACACTTATCATCAGACCACTCTCATCTCAATGACACTTATCATCAGACCACTCTCATCTCACTGACACTTATCATCAGATCACTCTCATCTCAGTGACACTTATCATCAGATCACTCTCATCTCACTGACACTTATCATCAGACCACTCTCATCTCAGTGACTAACCGGCCTTGCATTTTTTCACACCAAAGAGATTACTCAACATACCTACAACAACTCTGTGAACCGACCTAGCTAAACCTGACCAATCAGAACTCTTCGAACTGACCTTGCTAAACCTGACCAATCAGAACTCTTCGAACTGACCTTGCTAAACCTGACCAATCAGAACTCTTCGAACTGACCTTACTAAACCTGACCAATCAGAGCTCTTCGAACTGACCTTGCTAAACCTGACCAATCAGAACTCTTCGAACTGACCTTGCTAAACCTGACCAATCAGAACTCTTCGAACTGACCTTGCTAAACCCGACCAATCACATCTCGCCCTCAGAAAACCTCTCACCAACTCAAGATCAACAAATTTCACAATTAAACAAATCCAGTTCATAACAATAAGTGAACAAAACTTTGGTTCTACAACACTGGTGATCATGTCTCATGTCTGTCACAGAGCCTTTAGTGTTTGATTGAACATATACATCAAAAGACTGAAAGCATTTGGTTATTCACATCATGCAGATAAAGTTTTCATACTGCATTACTTTATTCTGGAGTGAAAGCAAGAAATAAAAAAATAATTTCACAAAAACCTTTTAGCAAAATGTATATATAATCCATAATATAATTATTAGATGGTTCACACAGAGCTCCTGTTACCAATGACAGTGAATTGAATTTTGTACTGAATAACATCAAATAATTAAATAAATTGTTGTAAAATTCACATTTTGAAAAAGACACCAAAAATAACATTTTTATAACTCACATAAATTGTATACGGGTCTTTCTGATCTAGGCCAGGAACAATGATATGAGAGGAACCATCTTGGCTGGCCAACATATTTGTAAAGACTTTTTTCCCATCAATCATCTAATAGAGAAATGAGTGCATCATTAGCTTTTTTTACCACAAATCATGCAGAAAAGATCAACACTAAATTGATATGAAATCAACAGATTGGGTGTCCTTCGTAGACTATTGTGTGTTGTTATGGATAACCAAAATGATACATATTTTTTTTTTTAATTTTTGTTTCTAAACACCAAAGTCATGGGGAAATAATGAATTATATGCAGTTGCTAATGGTTTGAGTTCCCTCCCTGTATGAAGTAAAACTAGCATGGTCTACCTTCAGTCTGGTTTGTTCACTGTAGATATCCGCCAGATGTGTCAATCATTTAATTTGCCTGCCTTTAATTATTGTTATAAAACACTTATTTCAAAGTAATAAATGAATAATTTCTACCCCCCCCCCCAACCAAATATAATTCAGTGTACTTTAAATGACCAAATTTTGTTTTAAGAAGTCCACTTATTCAGTCTGTTTTGTTTACTGTAGATATCCGCCAGATGTGTCAATCATTTAATTTGCCTGCCTTTAATTATTTTTATAAAACACTTATTTCAAAGTAAAAAATGAATAATTTCTACCCCCCCCCCCCAACCAAATATAATTCAGTGTACTTTAAATGACCAAATTTTGTTTTAAGAAGTCCACTTTTACCAGGTTTGCATCTAATGCTTGAACTCAAAGAGATAGTTATGATTCCATATGAGGTGAGCTCACTTGCTGGCTTAAGGTCAACCAGTTTAACATGAGGTGGACATGACGGTTGTTTCATCTGCCTGCATAATATGTATTAACATACATTGATTCATAACTCAGTCTACATATGAACATACTTCAGTCTATGTATGAACGTACTTCAGTCTAATGTATGAACATACTTCAGTTTACGTATGAACATACTTCAGTTTACGTATGAACATACTTCAGTCCATCACAAAAAATGAGATTAAATCCTGTCTTACCACCGCTGGAACTTTGGCACTGAAGACGTCATGTTGATGCTCTGTTGAAGTTATGCGCATCTGAAAACCGTGGACATCTTTTGGCGGGTTCTTGATGACAATGTGCAACGTCCCATTCTGGTCCGACCATTTTTGTATCGTCAATGTCTCATTTCTTGGCTTTTTGTCTGCATCGGATTTTTGAAAAAAGAAATGAGTAATTCGATCAGTTTGTATGGTCACAAAATAATGTTTCTATGATCAATCTAAGGGCAGTCAGGCAATTTTATGTGATGATAAAATAAGACATTAACCTTTGGATAATACAAAATAATCCCCCAAAATATAATGTGCTATGAAAAGTGTTTAGATGTCTTTGCTTGGCACAATATCAATGTAAGAACAGAAATAAATGACTCATCCAGCTATGAAAAGTGTTTAGATGTCTGTGCTCAGCACAATAAGCTTTATATTTAAAGGGGAAAAGACTGAATAATGTCAAGGAATAACTGACACCTGAAAAATGCATGACCAATGCCTGACCAATGTCTGACCAATGTCTGACAAGCGCCTGACCAAAAAGTAGAGGTTTCAAAAACTGGAATTGTCTTCAACATATGAAACATACATTTAAAAATTATTAAATTTACAGCACGCACAAAATATAGGGAAAAGTGTATTGAGTGGAATGTATGGCTTAAAAGATGATAAGTGAAACTGTTTCATATAATCTTTGTCAAAGCCTGGTCATATTTACTTTGGTATTGACACCCATAGTTCATGTGGTCATATTTACTTTGGTATTGACACCCATAGTTCATGTGGTCATATTTACTTTGGTATTGACACCCATAGTTCATGTGGTCATATTTACTTTGGTATTGACACCCATAGTTCATGTGGTCATATTTACTTTGGTATTGACACCCATAGTTCATGTGGTCATATTTACTTTGGTATTGACACCCATAGTTCATGTGGTCATATTTACTTTGGTATTGACACCCATAGTTCATGTGGTCATATTTACTTTGGTATTTACACCCATAGTTCATGTGGTCATATTTACTTTGGTATTTACACCCATAGTTCATGTGGTCATATTTACTTTGGTATTTACACCCATAGTTCATGTGGTCATATTTACTTTGGTATTTACACCCATAGTTCATGTGGTCATATTTACCTTGGCGCAAATCATACTTAAAGGCAACGTATTTTGGTACATTCTTTTTGTACGGCAGACTCTGAATGCCTACTTCCAGTGCCATAGCTTCCTTGATGGGTGACGTGATACAGTTGATGAACAAACTGATTCCCTGGTAAAAGATCGAATTCGTCAATCAGAATTCAGTTGACGGATTTGAGAACTAAATACCAATTGATAGGAGGAGCAATCAGTGGGAGGGATTAAATGTGTGGTGTGGGGCATGGAATAAATGTGTGGTGTGAAGGAGGGAATGAATGTGTGATGTGGAGGAGGGAATAAATATGTGGTCTGGAGGGAGGGAATCATTGTGTCGTGTGGAGAATGGAATCATTGTGTGATGTGGGAGTGAGGAAATGAATGTGTGGTGTGGGGGAGGGATTGAATGTGGGTGTCATAATCCTCTGTTAACCTGCCATCAAGAGGTCCAATGCTAGTTCTCAATTTTACCTCGCATAAATAGTTCAAATTAAAGCCATCTAGTTGGGCCACTTGTTTTTAAAAACACCAATTACACGTGCACATTTGTTAGGTTTAAACATTGGTCAATCTCCCATGGACATAGCAAGGTAATCCGGGCAGTAATACATACATGATCATTGTCAGAATTGGAATGAACTGTG